TTCCTTCAAGGTTTCGAAGAATAGTAGACACATATATGTGGCTCAGGAGACAAACCTGCTAAGTATGGCCACACACCCTGTCAAGCTTTGAACTTGCCTTCTATTAGTTAGGTTTTTCATGTCTAGGAGAGCTTGATTCTGGATTGGCTTTGGCACCTCGCTGATTAACAAGGAAATCCAAAAATTTTCTGAAACTTAATCTGAAAGCGCACTTCAGAGGGTTGAGTCTTATTCTATGTTTTTTTAGGATGTCAAACATTTCCCCCAAGTGCTCAATGTGGCTTTCAACGACCTTTGATTTGACGAGCATATCGTCGATATACATCGTCATTATTTTGTCAATTTGCTCGGCGAACATCTTGTTCACCAAACGCTAGTAGGTCACCCCAGCATTCTTCAAGCCAAACGGCATAACCCTGTAACAGTAAATACCTCATCCAGTAATAAATAAGGTGTGTTCTTCGTCAGGCTGATACATCGGGATTTTGTTATATCCTGAGTATGCATCCATGAAGCGAGTAGTGTGTTCCTAGCTGTCGCATCTACTAATTGGTCGATCCAGGATAGTGAAAAGTTGTCTTTGGAACAAGTTTTGTTTAAATTTGTGAAGTCGACGTAAGTTTCCCACTTGCCCATCGAATTTTTCACAAAGACTGAGTTGGCGAGTCAGTCTAAGTATTTCACTTCCCTGATGAAGTTAATGTTCAGGAGCTTATCAACTTCATCTTTGAGTGCTTTGGACCGCTCCGCATCTATATATTACCTTTTCTGTCTGATTGGTCGAGCTTCTAGGTTGACATTTAATCTGTGGCACATTACCTCGGGGCTAATCCCACTATATCCGCATGTACATAGGTAAACACATCGACGTTTTTCTTTAGGAAACCCACCAGATTATTTGCTAGCTCATCCCTTGGACTGCTACCAATTTTTAATACTCGAGTTGGGTCTTTCTCGCTTATAGATACTTCTCGCAGCTGTTCTGTTGGCCCTACTGTAGGCTCTTCTTTATGGAAATGAGGATCTATAGTATCCTCCAGAGGTCCAGGGTTTGGCTCAGACTTTACGATGACCATGATTCTCGGGAGTAGCCATTTTAAAACAGTATTAATAGCTCGTTGTAGCACTCTTGAGATTCTTTTTTGTGACTCCTGATCGTTGCGACCCCGCCTGGAGTTGGAATCTCATCACTTGCCAACATACTGAGGTGACTACACTTAGATCATCCAGGATCGGTATTCCGAGAATGACATTGTAAGTGGTCGGGCAGTCCACTACTAAGAATTTTGCTATCACCGTCCTCATCTTGGGTTCTGCCCTAAGGTCACGAGTAAGTCGATTGTTCCCTTGGGAACTAGGCTGTCCCCAATGAATCCATAAAGCGGCGATGGACACGCCCTTAGATCTCATTCTGTGAACCTCATTTCTTGGAAAGCTCCCAAGAAAATGATGTTCGTTGCACTGCCATTATCGAACATCACCTTAAGTACTCAGGCATTGCCGATCCTTGCTGTGATCACGATTGCATCATGATTCTGGCAAGGAGATGCTTCACACTTATCCACGGTGAATCCTATCACCTCGCTCTCTTGTCTGGACCGCTTCGGCGGCCTCTGTTCATAGCTCATTACTCGGGGGACTAAGTCTGTTTTGGCCTCTCGAGCATAATGCTCACGAGAGCACCTTAACCTCCCTGCAATGTCGGACCCCCCATAGATCATGCCTACCAGGACCTCATTGTTGGTTAAGGCTTGCTGGATCTGATTATTTTGCTCGCTTGTATTTTCAAGAGCTGGCGCCTTCTTGACAAATTCTTTTAGGTGGCTCCTTCGTATAAGATATTTGATGGCATTCTTTAGAACTCGACACTCATTAGTGTTGTGCCCAATGTCCCAGTGGTATCTGCAGTATTTCTGTCAATCTCTTCTACCTGGTACCCTTCATCCTTTTTGAAGTGGGCAGTCTTTTAGCCTCACAGGAGACTTCATATATATGAGCTATGTCTTGAGTGAGGGGAGTGTATTCTGCATATCGCGAAAAATGTTGCCTTTCCCTACGATTTTCTATTTTCTGTCTCTTTTGGAACCTGTTCCGGTCCCTATCATTGCGGTATTGGACCCTCCATTTATGCGCTGGGTGATCTTGTCGCCTGTCTGTGACTCTTTGTGGTAAGCTTCTGGCTAGGGCGACTAGTGAGCTTTCCACTTGCTGGTGCTTGGTAGCCATCTGATAAAACTTTGTCAGACTCACATGGTCTTCGCTTTGGAGCTCTTTCCACAGCTCCGTTTGTGACTTGATACCCGCAATTAACAAAGTCCGAATTGATTCTTCGAGTGCATCCGCTACCTTTGCTTGCTCATTCTAGAACCTCATCAGATATGAGGTCAGTGTTTCATCTCTCTCCTGACGAATATTGCTCAAGTAGCTGAGCAACATTGCAAACTGTCTCCTTGCTTGGAATTGTTTTAGGTACAGTGAGGAGAACTGTTGCCAAGAGCTAATTGAGTTCACCTTTTGTAACACCTTTTGGCATCCCCTACCAATGTGATCGCGAAACAGCGACACTTTGCCAAGTCACATACCTGATACAGTTCCATCAGGTCATTGAAAGTGTCGAGGTGGTCTGTGGGATCTCCTTTCCCATCAAACTTGCTTTCTGGTGCCCTAAGTCCTTGGAGAAGCGGGGCCTAGCAAACTTCCTTTTGTGAATAGAGAGCTCACTATCTCTTCCGCCACATTGTTCTGGAGGGCTCTTAGATTGTCAAACATTTTATGCACTTGATCTAAGTCTTCGTTGTGGGGATTGCCTTGGCTGGCTCTATTTAGCCTTACCTCAAGCAAGTGAGTTCGCAAATCTGTTACTTGTGAGCCCTCTCCATTATGCGCGATGTTAAGTCATGATGGCTAGACTAGTAGGTGTTATCATGCTCATCAATGCGTTGCTTACAGACATTGGTTATAACTGGAATGTCAGTCATTGACAGATTAGCACACATGACTCGTCTTGCGAGCTTGCGAGGTTTGAGCTTGCCTTGGGCGTGGGTTAAAATCGGCACACGAACGTTGTGGGTATCATGAAGTAGGTCGAGTGTCCCGTAGGCGACCATTGCCTTCATTTTCCTTCATTGGCTATTTTCTTGGTCGCCTCTCGGGGTTAGTTTGCCTGCAGAACTCATGTTCATAAGTGGAATGTACCTTGTGTCATCCGGGATGTCGGTCGCCCCTTGGTGTCGATGAACCAGATTGGTCGCCAGCTGAATTTCGACCTGTCGAGGTAACATCTGTGAAACGTGGCTAGTCAAGATCTTGGGCAGTTGGTTGTTGATTTCTTAGTTCAACCATATTTTGTTGCACCGCCTGTGCAATCATTGTTTTGATCATCTCCACCAGTTGGCCGTTCTCAGGATTCGACGTCCCTACCCCTTGGTTATTCGCGGCTTATTGTGTTAGCGGCTCTGGTGGTCAACGCTCGATGGCATCTTGATACACCTCCTAGTGGGTGGTTTCCATGTTGTCATGGTTTCTGGTGGTGGTTTTTGATTGTGTGCGAACCATTGTGGGCCTTGAGTGATCAAGTCACTAGGATTGTTTGCTGGAAATTCTAAGATTTTGGCGGAGGCCCTCCTTCTAGCACCAAAATGTTGATGCAAAAAATATACCAACTAGAACGATCTAATTGACCTTGGCAGAATTGGAACGGATGTGTGTGTGATTACATAAAAACCAGCAATGTATGAACGGAAAATGCAATAAAGTAAATGACACAATGAGTTTTTAAAGTGGTTCGGCGAGATATACTCTTGAGCCTACGGCCATTGTTTTTATATTTGCCGTGAGAGCTTACAATGATAATCCTAAAATAATTTGCTAACCCCTTTTTCATCGTTGGAGGGGGTTTATATATAGATTTTGTACAAAGGAAATAGCAAAAATAAAGGGATTACAATTAAAATTGAAATGCAACTCTGATATTCTCGCGATTGAGCGCTGAGATTGCTCCAAAATTGCTGTTGATATGATCCTTTACGAGATATCTGTGATCTGAAGTTATCTTTGAGTTGATTGAACAACTGTTGGGATTGGTCGCGACTAGCTTGTGCTAGGTTGAGCTACAACTCGATGAGCTTATACTGGATCGAACAATCAATTAAGTTGAACTGATTCTTGATCAAGCTATTACCTCGCAATTATCCGAGCTTGATGGAAAAATCATACATAACAAATAACTACCCCTATTAGCAATCGAAGAGGGATTCAAATTCAGGATCTCTTGAATAATATACTCAGGAGTCCCTATCAAATCACTTGGTCATCCAAATGTAGTTTTAACATGCAAACTATCCAAATGTAGTTTTAACATGCAAACTTACGTAGTCTTTATTATAGCTGGATAACAAATAATGAACCAAACTTAATTAATTATTAAACTAAGTACTAAGCAATTATAAACACCCAATTAATTATTAAACTAAGTACTAAGCTCTGGCCATGCTAACTTTTCCAAAGCCCTTTAGCAGCCAGAAATACATATAAACGTACGTCTTTTGTTTTTTAGCAGGCCAGTTTACACGAATCTTAATAAATTTTTTAGGTCTTGAAATTAATAATAGGATAAATCTCTTCAATGGTCACCTTTATTAATAACTCAGATAAATTAAACTCATAACCTCTTTAAAAATATACCTAAGAGTCTTAGCAGTCAATTAGAATTATTAAATGTATTACTTAAAAAAATCCTGAATTTGATCTATTTAGGTTATTAATAAAAACGATAACTACAAAGATTTATTTGGTTGTCAATTTCAAAGTCCAAGATTAGTTGAGGTAGCCTAAACGAGTCCAGACATCGCAGCCAAAAAAAAAAAAAATAGCAGCTAACCCAGCTTTAAACCCATAAATTTTCAGTATCGTGGCAACATGTTATTGGTGTCTAAACTGAACCTAAAAGTACTTAGCCAAGACAATCCTGCAAGGACATCCACAATATTTTACGAGTGGGGGCCCAGCAAATATGCGTAATGAAGTAGAGATAAGGTGGCAAACGAAGCCGTAGCAAAGGTTTGTGAAACGACAGCCATGGCCACTTCATCGCTCATCTCATCATCGCTTCTGCCAACAGAACTTCCAAAAATTCATCGCCGAAATCACCAACTTTCGCTTTTCATCAATCATAACAGGGTTGAGATCACCTTCAAGAAGCGACCCTCCTTCACGGTCCGAGCTGCAAAGCCTCCTGCTGGGGTATGTCGTATGTTTGCTCATTGCATTATTATTCTTAATTTAGTTCTGAAACTAAGTAGAGGTTCAAAATTTAGGTGGAATTGCCGAAAGTGCAGCCAAAATTCCAAGCCCCTTTTCTTGGATTTACCAGGACTGCAGAGATATGGAATTCTAGAGCCTGTATGATTGGCCTTATTGGAACTTTCATTGTAGAATTGGTGAGCTATTATCATTGTGTTCTGAGTATGTCATTAGAACATTTTGTATTTGAAATAGTTCCTTAAAACTTTATGGGGTTTTCTTGTTTTTGCAGATATTGAACAAAGGAATTCTTCAGGTTATTGGGGTCGAAGTTGGAAAAGGTCTTAACCTCCCTCTATGAAGCTCTAATCCGGGTATATATACGTGAATGCAACTTACGTTATAGAATTGCGATCCAATTTTATAACTTTCATGTAATTTTTCATTTTTTTTCAAATTGTACCACTATGCAATGGTGTACACATCCAGTAATTGTGATCTATACAAAATGTCCTGCAGCGGTTTTCGTTTTTCAATTGCAATTGCAGTTCTCTTCAATGCATAGTTTAAGATACCCCGTTGATTACCCTCAACTGACTTGTGACGGGCTAAGAGCTTAGAATTTGCTTCACTTGCTATTACAAGAATAAAACAATGCTAATTTATTCATCACGAAATTCAGCCAAACAGTTTATACAGTAACTCTACATTGAAATACTTTTCGTGCATATTACGAGTTTCAGCAGCCTCTAGTTAATACAACAAGATTACAGACGGCAAAACTGAGAAATGCCACTGGGTTTGCATCTCTTCACATTATTTTTACATAAATAATGTAATAGACCATGCGCAGAATGCATGCCACAATATGTGAAGATTATGCTCTTACAGTTATTTTGAGGCGACATTCATATTGCCTTGCAATCTACAAAGTATAACTAGGGTTATCTAACAGCTACTGAAACTGGAAAAAGATGATTACATGGCCCGGCTAGTTCGAGCATCTATAACCATCACTTTGTTAGATGGCTCTGAATTCAGGGCCTCAGCCAGTGACATGCGGCGGTTTCTCCATGTAGCTTCTGCCCACCTTTTCGTTCTCTCCCCTTCATCCTTTCTGTTCTGCTGAACACATAGCGCTTCTGCATATCCACCTACACAACCAACCAGCTGGATAAATGCCGAAATCATTATGCATGTGTGCTATGAGACTGTCATAATTGGATCCCTAAGAACAATTTGCCTTTCCAAAGGCATCAAAGAATCATACAAGTTGAAAACACACAAGACATGCATCAAATGTTTAAGGTATCTTTAAAAAAGGAAAAAAAAAAAAAAAAAAAACACCCAGTAATAACGAAGTGATTGCAACATCATGACACAGCAAAATGCTCGACTTTTAAATTGTATAACATTCAATAAGTATGAGAAGTGAATGTCAGGCCAACATTTCTGTCACATGATAGGCAGAAATAACTCATGAGAACCAATTCAAATTAGGACCACTTCCATCACTGAGTCATGATCCCTCCATAAGAATATACGAGTATGCAAGAAGAAAAGCAATACGATTTTCAAGTATACCTCTTGCAAGGGCCATTATATCTCTTCCATCCACTTTTGTCTCAGAACCTGTACAACCAAACAGGCAAAACAGAATCATTCCTGAATAGCATTGGGAATAGGCAAAATGCTAAGACTCTGGCTATACCTTCAGAATCCAATGGTGGAGCTTTCAGAAGTTCTATCGCCCTTCTATAAAGCCCCTGTAAAGGATATATTGTTAAAACTTTACAATAACATAATTACCAATACAAATTGCAACGATGACATAACCAATGACAAGTGATAAGAAAATTTCACAGGTAATAAGAAGTCCAAACAGAGTTTAATTAAAACATACATAAGGTTTACCCAACAATTGAAAGGACAGTACAACAGGCTAAAACTTATGTTTGCACAATTTTTTCTTTTCTAGTCAAAAAGATCTATGACCTTATCCTAACAGGATCTATACAACAAATCATCCTCGCCCATGGTAGTTTTTTGAGGATCTAGTACATTCCTGATCTACAACTTTGAGATCAATTTAACCAGAGGAAAAAGAAATAAACTATTATGGCTAATATCAAGAATCAATATGAATGGAAGACACCTCTAGAACCAATTTTTCTTGATATGAAATAAAAATGATGGTCATGTGAATTCTAACCTCTTGTACCAAAAGAGAACTTGACCGCTCTTGAATTGCTTTATTCCGAAACATGAGAGCCAAGCAGGTCAAGACAACACCAACTTTTGGGTGGTGGGAGCCTACAGGAAGTCAATAAAACCAAAGGGAAGAATTGGTATATAATCCACAATATTCATTCTACAAAACCAGCTAAAAGAAATATGAACATAAGTGATTAACAAAGCACATCCAAGGCAACAAACCAAAAAGTTCCTCTGTTTTAGTTAAAGCCCTTGTCAATATCTCCTCAGCATCACCAAAGTTCCTGAATTAAGGTTAGGGACGGTTGGCATCAGAAGACAATATTATTGAAGGTAAACAGTGATTTAAGGCACTAGCCAAGGATTCTAAGTCTTACCCCATGTGTCCCTCAAGCTGTCCTAGACCAAACGTAGCTGCCAAGGAAACTTCCTCCAAAGCCATATTACATGATCCCAAGGCATTTGTATCACTAAAGTCTTTTTTTTCACTCAACACTTCAATCACATTCTGGTAGAACTCCTTAGCCAGTGGAAAGTTCCGTGTGACATGCAAATATTCTCCGTATGATAAAGCAGCACTGCCTATATATAACAACTTCAATATAACGAACAACCATGATTCCCATAACGACTAGTAAAAGCAATGAACCTCACCAGTATAACCCACATTCTCCTGAAATCCTCTGAAGAAAGATTCAGCTGTTCCCCAATAAGCCAAATTCAATAATAAAACAAATCAACATGACAACAACAAAAAAATGAAAGAATGAAAACTCACAAGAGCTTCAGCAGTACCTGATTCAACATTCCCGTGGACAAGCTCAATCAGCCCTTTTACTGCCTTAGCACGAGATCTAACAGCTGCATAATCACCTCCATCACTCTCTGGTTTGCATTTTCCCAGAACTTCTAAGCATTTATCTGCGACCACTGACGAAGTATCATCCTATATAAGGAGAATCATCTCCAGATAAATCTTAAATTCTAAACAGATTACTAATAGAAATAAAAAACACTAGTTTAACTATTTGTTGAAATCACTACTTACTTGCCCCAACTGTAAATGGAGTCCAACAAGGGCTTCCACCGCAGCAACTACAATAAATGCACAAAACACAATTTTTAATCAATACCCTTTCCCTAAATAAGAGTTTAAACATAACAACTTTGAAACATAAATCTAATTTCCTCATAGACAGAACTGCACCTCTTACTCCCAGAGAAGATTGTTTTAAATTTTCAACTTTCTGCAGCCTGTCTATTGCCTCCATTAAATTCCCTCTACAATAAAATTCAAATTACAAGCTCAGAGATATTGAAGGGCCGAACAATGAAATAAATATTTAAAAAAAAAAAAAAAAAAGAACCTTTCATATAATAAAGTAGACATAGCGAGTAACGCAGTTCCCCTCCAATTTTGAGCGCACTGGCCTTCCCTTGGCTGAGTAGAGAAGCACTGCTCGAGTACTAGCAAACCTTGTGCGTACGATTCATCTACATATGCATAACACGTGTCACCACTTACAAAAAAAATAAAAGAAAGAAATTTGATTAAAAATGGGAAAAGTTTTGGGCTGAATTGATAGGAAATTTTAAAAAGTAACCTGATTTCTGAGACCTGGCATGAGAGAGAGCGTAATTGATCATCTGAAAAACAACTGGATTTGAATTTGGGCCGTTGACGTTGGTTCCATCATGAAGTAATCTCGACGGTGGTGATGCAGCAGAGAGTAGAAAATGTCCATGGAAGGAGGCTCCTGGCAACCGAATGCTTCGGGAGAGGGTAGTCGCTGATCTTGACAACTTGCTTGCGGTGCGAATCATTGCTGATTTGATTATTACTCTTCGTTTCGTTCAAAACCCTAACAAAATGGAAGGGAAGGGTTTTAGAGATTTAGAGATGTTGATTTGGTTAAGGGTTATTCTGAGAGTTAAACGACATGTTCCCACCCAAAAAAAGTTCCATTAAACACTTTCCCACCCTCAAACTTTTAAAACACCCTCTTACTATCCAAATAATATGTTTACCTCTTATTTGGGTGGGAAATATAGTGATTTACGAAAAAGCCCTCTTCCATTGCTTCTCTTCTTAGCCTCTTCCCTTGCCAGCAATTGCCGCCGATGTTGGGGTCGTCGACCACCAGAAAATATTGCAAATAAACATTCATCAATTGTCTTTCAACCCAACAAACACAAAAATTGAATGAATCAATCTTAATTAATCCAATTAAAACTGGAAAAACCCTAGGGTGGGGGAGCTTCAATCGCCGACGATTAGTGAGATCTAGGATGTTGGGGTTTTGGAGAGGAAGATCCAAGGAATCGATTGGTGGTAGCAGAGACAATTTTTGACACTGAAAATGATTGAAAATCGGCTTGGAAAATGAAAGGTCGCGCGGTGCACAATTGGCCATTGACAAGCAAGCGACAATGATGGAGGTAAGGGTTTTGTAGAGTGGGTTGTGGAGAGTGTGATGGTGGTGTTTGGGGGAATTTATGGCAAAGAAATGGACTGGATAATGGAGGCGATTGGTTTTGTAGAGTTGGCCATGCGAATGGAGGTGGTGGTGGGAAATGGTGAGTGATGACGGTAAATGGAGACTAAGGCTTTGTAGAGGAGGTGATGGGGATTCTATGGGTGGTCTCATAAGTGATTTTGAACGCCGAGATTGGTCGAAAAATGGCAAAAACTGTCGATTGTGACGCTACTAACATGCACCATCTCTTGCTAACGTGCGTTGTTCTTCTTCTCCTACAGCCAATGTTTGTTGACCATTTTGCCCTCATTAATAATAGACTTTTGACTATTTTGCCCTTCCTGACAACAAAAATTGCTAACAAAATTATGTTTTGGGTACTGAAATGGTATTTAAAAAGTGGGTGGGTATGAATTTGTCAATGGACTATTTTTTGGGTGGAAACATGTCGTTAACTCTTATTCTGATAAGCTAAAGTTTTCTACCAGTTTCCAGTAAACGACATCGTCTAGTGAATCAAACGCCATGCAACCTTTAAATTTACACATCATCGTTTCAACTTTTATGTATTTTGTCTCCTACTGAGCAAAAAGAGTACAAGCTTCAACATATTTTTAATTAAATTTAAAATTAAATGGTTCTTTTATTAACTTGTTTATCTTCTTTGTGGAAAAAGAACTGAGTCTGATAGAGTGGGAATTGGTTCGGCAGCTAAAGAAAAATTTCGAGATACATAGAGTATATAATTAATGAATGGTCGTATATACAATCGAGTAAATTTTGTTTTAAAAGATACAGAAATATTGTGTTGGTCCTTAACAAGTTTGGTATCACACAATTTTTTGTGATTTTTTTAATCTCTTCCGTGTCTTAAATTATCTGGTTTCTTTCTGTTTTTAAGGTTTTTTTTAATTGTTATTTTGGGATTGATAATAAGGAAGGGAGTTTAAATATTATAAGCTATGCTAGAAAAGCAGAAAAAAAGAAAAAAGTAAATAATAATAATAATAATAATAAAATAATAATCTCATGGGTTTTTAAACAAAAATAAAGGGAAATCATATTGACACATATCAAAGTCAATTGCAACTTATTACTTACTAAAAAAAAAAAAAAATCTGATTTTAAACAAGCAGATGCTGATATAGTTTTAAGAGCAATTAAAATCCTGATCAGGGTATTGCGGTTAAGATAAAGGTACATTGATTGTTGGGGGAGATTCCTGTTGCTTTTGAAAAGGTCAGGGAGGGTATTATTGCTTCCAAATAAGATAATAATATTGCAAATCACCCTTGAATTTTGATGATGGGAAGGATTATCAAAATCATCTACTTGGAATTAATTTCCATTGGGTTAAGCGACGAGTTCATGTACAATAAATTTTACTCCTATACACAAGAAACATGAAATGGTCCATCACAGAGTAGAAATAACCATCAGTGATGGTCAATACCGTGATGGACTGTTTCTGTGAGAAGACATGAAGCAACAGTTTAATGAGAAGTGTGACTCCATGACTTCTCACAGAAGCAGTCCATCACAGCGTAGAAATAACCATCAGCCATGTTCAAGCGAAGAGATGTTTCTATGAGAAGACATGGACGCTCACTGGCTCTGCACGTTCCTGCCAAGAACGTCACATGTGCACGGCTTGACAAGCTTGGAGCATTTGTGATTTGGGTAAGTTGACAACATTGGCTTACGATTGCGAGAATGGCCTCCCTTCAAACTCACCAACTGCTGCTATCACTGAAGACATGCTCCTCCATGCTCAAACTGCAGCATATACCAACTCATTTGTTGCAGGCTCTTAGTGGCCTTTTTTTTTTTTTTTAATTAGTTTCTGTTAATTTTGTTCATCGATAAAAATATACATTCCTGATGATGCTTTGTCAAACTAGGAATTGAGTTTGCTGATTTAGTGTTGAAATTTGTTCTGAGAGGAGACTTTATAGAAACATCAGTGAATTGCATGATTCATGAGGCCTGGTTACAGATTGCGCAGTGGTAAACTTGTACCAAAACCATAACTATCAACCAATTGAGAAATTGCTGTAATAATAAACATCTAATTAGGGAGATAAAGTAAATTGCAGTTGGCAGCTAAAGTTTATAGTCGATGAAGAGGAGACATGTGGCCAACAAGTGGCAAGCTGTCAAAATTAACATAAACCATCTCATTAACAGTTGTCACATTCTGCTCAAGGAAAATGAAATTAATGAAACACAGAAGAATATTATATTTACAAAATTGAGTCTAATAAACTCCATTTCTTACCCGTACATGGGTAGTCCCGCGATGGGCGAACTAAGGGGGCTGCAAATGATCCAACCCATGTTCCAGGGTTGATTTGTCGGATGATGCCAAGGGAGTATATTTGACACATGGATTATAACTGAGGGACTATAGGAAGTAATGGTTGTTTATGGGATAGCTCCACCCTAAGATTTGTGTGAGGTGCATGTAAGCTGACAAAAAAAAAAAAAAAAAAAAAACCTCTATTTGTACTGATTCTAATATTAGGGAGATACTCATCCTTTTTAGCCAATTAATTCAATTGAGGCTATTATATTTGAACAACTGTAAAAAGCTAACACAATAGCACATGGCGTAATCCCCGCTCTTTGTAAGTTAGAGAAGCTATATTTTTGAAAAGTTTTAAGCTTTGGTCTTTTGAAGGAGAGGAGGTATTGGAAAAGCAATTTCGAGCTTGCTGAGTTACAATACTTGTCTAGACTAATTAGCTTGCAAATTTTTATCCCAAACCAGGATCTTATGCCTAATATGACATGTTGTTCAAAAGTTATCAAGCTTAATAATATAGGTGCTCCAAAAATTATGACAGAAAGTTGTTTTTACAGATTAGAAGAAAATATTCATAGAAATTGATGCTCTCTCTCTGAGGTTATGATTTCATTATTATTTGATTGCCTTAAGACTTTTTGTAATTTAAAAAATAAATATCTATGTATCATCGTTTTGAAAAATATTTATACTTGTAAAGAGAGGTTCAATGAGCTGAAAGTTAACTGTACTGATCAAGGTAACATATCTCCTAAATAAATTGGAAATGGAATCAAACTAAACATTCCAAAACTTAGAGGAACTAAAAATCTGGGACCATCCCAACTTGATTGAAATATGTCATGGTGAACCTCCAACCAGTCCTTCAATAAACTCAAATCTTTTACTATAGGTTGTAGGAACAGGTTGCCAAACTTTCCAAGTCATTTTTTACAGAGGTTTCAAATCTAAAATTTTAGAGATTTTATTGTAATCAGTGGCATATATGTTCGATTGGGAAGAGCTTAAGGTTGCAAATGGAGAACAAAGCGGCTCTTGTCATTGAAGGATCTACATTTGTGTGGTCCGCTAGAGATTCGCATATATGGAATGGTCACACTCAATCAATAAACCTCTGCAACTTGAACGGAATACGATTGTTGTTTTGCCGAAACTAAATTAAGCTATCTTCTCCAGCTATAGCAAAGTCTATTATGTTTGAAAAAACGAGATAAAGTATTGCAAGAATTTAAAGAGATCTTCATCTTCGAGACGAAAGAAGAGGAGGAATATAAGAAAAGGTTAGTAGTACCAAAGGGAAAGTCCACCACAACCTCCCCAAGTTTGGGATATTGACTTTTATAGAAGTAGGGGAACGCTTTAAATTAAAAAAAACTCTTCACCCCGTTCAAGCCAAAAGCTTGGTGAAACTTAGAAGACTTGAAATAGGTAGATGCTCACACTACATGAAATAATCACAAATGAGAAGCATCAACAGTACAAGGATTTTGTATCCTATTTGCCCTCCTTGTACCTTGGAAATTTAGATAACTTGCTTTGTTAGCTCAGACTCATATTCTGTTGAATTCCCAGCTTTGGAGTCACTTCGGATTTTTAGATGTCCAATATGAAGATCTTTGGTTATGGAGAACAATTGACACCAAAGCTCAAGAAATTAAGTTGTGATAATAATGATATAATGAAAAACAATGGATGGGTAACCTTAACTCTATAGTGCAACATTGTTCATAGAAAAGGTATTGAATCGATTAATTGTTCATAGTTAACAATTGAAAATAGTTTTACTTGAGAAAAAAAAAAAAAGAAACTGTAAGTGCAAAATATTACTTTTTCTTTTGAGTTAATGACATGTTCCCACCCAACAAATGGCCCACCGACATGTTCCCACCCTCAAACTTAAAACACCCTTTTACTACCCTGATATCAGGTTATCCTCTTATTTGGTTGGGAACAAAGTGATTTACTAAAAAAACCCCTCTCTTCTTTCTTCCTTCTCAGGCTCTTCCATTGCTGCAATTGTCGCTTGCGTTGGGGAGTGTTGGCGACCATAAAATCAACAAACAAACTCATCAATTGTATCTCAACCCCAAACACAAAATATACAAATCAAACCCATGATCCAATAAAAACTTAAAAACCTTAACGTGGGGAAGCTTCAATTGTCTGCGATGGTGACAAACGGGATTAGGAATGTTGGGGCTTTTGGGGAGAAGATCTAGGGAGTCGATTGGTGGTAGCAGGGATGATTTTCGACATCGAAAACGACAGAAATCGGCTTGGAAGTTAAAGGTCGCACAGTTCACGGTCGGTGACGGCATGCCAAGGACGATGATGGAGGTAGGTTTTTAAGTGGATTGTGGGGAGTGTGATAGTGGTGTCTGGGTGATTTCTAGCAATGAATCGATCGAAATCCGACTTAAGAGTCGATCGTGCGAATGGAGGTGGTGGTGGAAATGGTGAGTGATGATGGCAAATGGAGGCTTGGGCTTGTAGAGGAGGTGGTGGGATTCTGTAGTGGTGTCGGAAGGGATTTTGAATGCTGGTCGGCTGATAAATGGCAAAAACCCATGCTTTGACCACTAACGTGTGCCATCTCTTGCTAATGTGCGCTGTTTCTTCTTCACAACCATTGTTTGGTGACCATTCTGCCCTCATTAATAATGGACTTTAACCATTTTGCCCTTCCTAACACAACAATTACTAATAAAATATGTTTTGGGTACTAAAATGGTATTTAAAATGTGATTGGGTGTGGATTGGTCAATGGGCTATTTTTTGGGTGGGAACATGTTCGTTGACTCTTTTCTTTTATCAATAGATTTGGATGCAATTTTTGGAAAATTCGGAGAAAACAGCATTGAACGGAAATAGTTTTTAGACGAAATATGTTTTTAGACTATGTAAATTGAATTGTTCAAAACTTGAAATTGTGTCTTAATCTTTGAAAATCATTTGGTATGATAACACATAGGTCTTCTTAAATATTTTTAGTTGCACAAATACTAATAAGTTAAATCATCTTTAGTTGTTCAGATACATAAATTATCTAAAAATGTGATTTGTTTTGCAGAGGAAAGATGGCAACGGTTAGTCAACAATCTATCTTTAGTTGTTCAGATACATAAATTATACAACCGTTTGTTTGAATCACAAGAAGACGTGATGATGACGACGATGAAGAAGAAGAAGAAGAGAGAAGAAGAAAAAGAGGTCACAGAAGTCTTGTTATTAGTCTATTCTTTTTTGATGGTTTAAATATTGTGCCTAATTTATGGGACTATAACAAGATTAGGAGCATAGTTGTTGTTTCTTAGTATAACAGATGGGAAACTTAGCAAATCTTTTCTTTGATTAAATTTTCATTTGTTTATATTTTTCTATGCATAAATGTCTACAATAACCTAATTCCATGAAGAGAATTTTGAATAGCTCAATATAAAGAAATCAAACCGTGATTGCATGCAAGAAATGGAATAGAATTAGAAGCAAGACGCAGAGAAGCCAGAAGGATTACCTGAAAAATACTTCGACTCAGACTTGATTCTGCATTACCTACTGGTATGAATCATGTTCACCAATATTTATTGAAATTTTTTTGATTAAAAAAAAATAACCTTAAAAAGGTTAATTTTTAATTATTATTGCCAACGGGATTTTGTAATATTGTTTTAGAGAGGAAGGAGAAAGATAATTAGCAAAGCGCAAAAGGAAATGATGTTTATTTTTCATTTTTCAAGCTATTGCAAGAGCTTGGGGATGTCTTATAACACTCAATTCAGTTGTAGATAATAAAGAGTTTGAGTGTAGTAATATTTGCAGTATATTTTTCTTCAGTGGTTTGACGCAAATCCTTACCATAATCACAGGTAGTTTTTTTAGATTAATCAGAAAACATTTGGTTGAAACTTTTCAATTATACAATTCTATGGTGTGCACAAGCTACTGATACTTTATTGTGACCTTTATTAATGTATTTAGCTCCAGTATACACATTGAATGGACTCATAACGAAAAGCTGATGTATATGCATACGGATTTGATGTTTCAAGAAATACAGGAAAACGATTTGTGATGAAGTGGGGAAGTGGGTGTATTTTGATAGTTTTATTTGCTATCAAAATTTCTTTTTTAACGTCTCTACTCTGTTTTTTCAATGCTTCTCGATCGGCGCATTGCAGCAAGTTTCCCACCAAAATTAGAAGGCGACACAAATACATAATAAATTTAACTTAGCTTGTTCAAGGCAATAATGAATTTTTGTTCTGCTGCAAGTCCGGTGATTGTATTGTTTGTGGTTTCAAATCAAATCATCCATATGTCAACACCAAAATTGCAATCACATAGCCCTGAACCCCGTGACCTTAGGTTAGAAAAGATTCATGACCAGATATAGACCTGGCCTTCAGTTTCGCATCAGCTTTCCTCTCTGTTAGAATTAGAAGCAATACAATAGTAATCATCTACTTGGAAGTATTTCCATTGGGTTAAGCGACAAGTTCATGTACAATAAATTGTTTTGCTGATATTAATTTAATATAACCAACATTACGAAAAGGAGGAAGATCAAATCCTCTTCCTCCTGAAGTAACAATCTTAAAATGGAGGTTCTCCTTCTCCCACGAAAGGAAGACCACCGCTACTTACACATTAAAAAAAGGGAAAAAAAAAACTTCTATCGCAAGAAACATGAATCAATTTAAAAAAAAAAAAACATGTCTTCATTCTTCTTTGAGAATCCGCACCACACAGCGGCGGATGGGCGGTGATATAGTGGACAACACCAGCCTCGATAACGCTGCCATTAATTGTTCCAAGGTCACTGGCTCTGGCTTCATGCGCCCGTTGCTGCAGTGTTCTTGTAGTCAAGTGATTCATCATCGAATATATCCCACCAGTTCTTCACTAGCATCTTTATATCTTCCCTGTCCATGTTCTCTTCTTTTCCAGTATACCTCCATGGCTTAGACCCCTGTAAATTTATAATCAAACCGTTAGAATTTAGATTATGATACAATCTTTTCATGTCAAATGAAAGTGGGTATATGAAATAATACTCACAGCAGCACAGTAGTGAACAACTTTGACTTGGTCAAGTTGAATGTTCTCCGGGTGACGCCATAACAAAGCCAACACAAGGTTGTAAATTGGAGGAATAGGCTTGTAAATATCCTTGAAGTACATGTTCAAGAAGTCCTACAAATCGAGAAAACATAACATTATTTAAACATTCAAACTTAAATTAATGATGTATTAAAAATACAAATCTAAATCTAAAATATTACCTGCTCAGCAAAGGGGGTGGGAGGGGTAATTTCGAGGGTTTTCAAGAGATCTTCGTAAGTAGACAAGCTGGGCTCATAAACAAACATGCCAGCATTGAAATAGAGTGGAGGTTTAGGACCCAACTCCGCTGGCCAGTTCACCTTGTCAGGACACTGTTGGCAATAACCAATCTTGTATTGAGGAGTGTGACTCCATGTTTTCTCACAGAAACAGTCCATCACCGCGTAGAAATAACCATCAGCCATGTCAAAGAGATGATCTATGTTCTCAAATACTTGGATGTCACCATCCAGATATATCATCTTGCTGTACTCAACAAACTGCAAATTAAATTACCCACCAGTCAAACACTAGTGATAAAAAACGCAAACAATAGTTTTACGAGAAAGACATGACATGCAATTATATTACAATACGTACCTCCCAAATACGAAGCTTGGAGTAGTTGATGACATAATAAGCCATGGCGAACTGAGTCTGATTCTGAGGAGGATACACAGGCTCGATCTCTCTCACAATACAACCTTGATCCACCAGAATCTTCCTGTGCTCTTCAGGAACGTCTGGCAGAATCGCAACGACAAGAGGGTAACTGCTCTTCACCTTCCTCAACCCTTTGGCCAACCCCACCACTCCTTTCCAATAGTCCCCGTTACCTGCCAAGAACGTCACATATGCACGGCTTGACAGGCTTGGAGCCTTTGAGAGAGAGGTGGTCTTGGTCACAGTAGTGGTGGTGGTGACATTAGGGGCCATTTTAAAATTCAAGAAAGGAAATGTGTGTAATCAGAAGATGAGAAAATAAGTGTTTGGAAGGAAAGAAAAAGCTTTGAAAGATTGAAAATCTTTTAAGGTTTTGATATTCGCTTTGAGTTATTGAAGCAGACGGTGACGGTGGTAGATTTATATAGGAGTTTGGGTGGGTGTAATGGTAATTTAATAAAATGCGGATTTATCTTGGTGTTAGAACTTGGAAGGGGGAAGAATTTGGTGGAAGACGACGTCATTTTGATATGGTTTTTTAACGTTAAACGTTGTCGTTCTAGGGACTTGAATTAGTGGTTAGTGAGGTTGACTGCTGGTACTTAATATTGAATACGTTAATCTTCTCCTATAGAAATCGGACACTACGTGTGGCATTAATTTGATCTAACGGTTAAGGAGAGAATTCTGGATTTGGACGGTGCAGGAAAGAGAAAAATATAATTATTTTAATGTAGCATAGAATATCCCGATTCTGGAAGCTACACAATCTTCAAAATACAGAAACACCCTTCTCTCATCTATAAACTACAACTTTATTTACTATAACAGGTGTTATTTTACGCAAGTACAGGGTCATTTTTGGACCGCTCAAAGAGAATAAAACCTGAAAAGAAAATAAAAAATGGTAAAGTGTGAATAATTAATTAATTAACATACACCGACGGAACCCAGCCCCACACCACACCCAGCTGGCCCTACAAATTTTAACACTTTTGTCACGCGGTTTCACAACATGTACTTACAAAAGAGTGGGCACGTGGCAACTCCCAAGAGGTGGGAGGAGTAGGTGAGATGGGGCCGCCACGTTTCACCATGCATTTGGGTTCCTGGGAAGAAGCTTGGTTAATATTAGTTACAAACCCAATATTTGCAAATAATAGACAAATTTATGAACTATTAATTTTATTCTTTAATTCAATAATTTACAAATTTATGAAATTGTCATTTTACTCTTTTAAGCTTAGTTAATTTATGAATTTATCTCAAATGCATGTGCTATGAAACATTATTCTAATCAAGGAACTGATTTCTGTTATCTTGGTTAATGAAGTAACAATAAAACACCTTGAGAAACATGTTTGATAATATATTTTTCGTTAAAAAAATTGATTGACGTAGATTCTGATAATGGTGTCAACGATATATCTCAATTGAACGGAATGTGTTCACATGTGCTTTTGACAGCATCGTAAACCATTAAAAGTGTTGATTTTTAACAATGATAATAGAATGTCAAATTTGGTTGCTTATTGCTTAATGTAACACTTAACTGAAATGTTGCATGAAGAACTGAGCCTTATAGAGTGGGAATTGGTTTGGCAGCTAAAGAAAAATTTCGAGATACGTAAAGTATATAATTAATGAATGGTCGTATACACAATCGAATAAATTTTGTTTCAAATGATACAGAAGTGTTGTGTTGGTCCTTAAAAAGTTTGGTATCACTCAATTTTTTGTGATTTTTTTAATCTCTTTCGTGTCTTAAATTATCTGTTTTCTTTCTGTTTTTATAGTTTTTTTTATTGTTAATTTGGGATTGATAATAAGGAAGGGAGTTTAAATATTATAAGCTACGCCAGAAAAAGCAAAATAATAATAATCTGCTTTATTACTTACACAAAAAAAGAAATCTGATTTTAAACCAGCAGATGTAGATAGAGTTTTAAGAGCAATTAAAATCTTGATCAAGGTATGCGGCTAAGATAAAGGCACATTTATTGTTCGGGGAGATTTTGTTGCTTTTGAAAAGGCCAGGGAGGGTATTATTGCTTCCAAATAAGATAATAATATTGCAAATTACCCTTGAATCTTGATGAAGGGAAAGATCATCACAAACATGATCAATTATCCAATACAACTACTAATCATCTATTTGGAAATAATTTCCATTAGGTTAGGCGACAAGTTCATGTACAATAAATTTTACTCCTATACGCAAGAAATATGAAATAGTCCATCACAACGTAGAAATAACCATCAGCCCTGTCAAAGAAGAGAGATGGTCAATGCCTTGATGGACTGTTTCTGTGAGAAGATATGGAGCAACAGTGTAATAAGGAGCGTGTCTCCATGGCTTCTCACAGAAGCAGTCCATCATAGCGTAGAAATAACCATCAGCCATACCAAAGCTAAGAGATGGTCAATGCCTTAATTTGATGGACTGTTTCTGTGAAAAGACATGGACGTTGACTGGCTCTTCACGTTCCTGCCAAGAACATCACATGTGCACGGCTTGACAGGCTTGGAGGAGGTGAAGAGCAGTTACCCTCTTGTTGTTGCGATTTTGTAGGACATTCCTGAAGAACACAGGAAGATTCTGGTTGATCAAGGTTGTATTGTGAGAGAGATCGAGCATGTTTATCCTCCTCAGAATCAGACTAAGTTTGCCATGGCCTATTATATCATCAACTACTCCAAGCTTCGTATTTGGGAGGTATATATTTATTCTAATCTCATTGCATGTCATGTGTTGCACTTAAAACTATTTGTGCTAACTTTTATCACTAGGGTTTGAGTGGTGGGTAATTTTGCAGACTAGTGTTTTACTGATCGATGTTTTCAAACACTTGGCGAACTGAGTCTGATTCTGAGGAGGATACACGGGCTCGATTTCTCTCACAATACAGCCTTGATCCACCAGAATCTTCCTCTGCTCTTTAGAAACGTCTAGCAAAATCCCAACAACAAGAGGGTAACTACTTTCCACCTTCCTCAACCCTTTGACCAATCCCACCACTCCCTTCCAAAAGTCCCCGTTACCTGCCTAGAACGTCACATATGCACGACTTGACAGGCTTGGAGCCTTGGAAAGAGGGGTGGTCTTGGTGACAGTGGTGGTGGTGGTGGTGGTGATGTTAGGAGCCATATTGAAAAGTTTGAAGAAATGGAACTTTGGAAAATGCTTTGAAAGATTGAAAAAGATTGTTTTTAAGGTTTGAAGATTGCTCTGATTTGAGTTGATGAAGGAGAGGGTGGTTGTGGGATGTTTATATAGGATTTTGAGTGGCTCTGATTATGTTAAATAATTGTAATTAAATGGTAATTGATTATTCTTGGGGTGGAGGGAGGGAACATGATTATGGTAGAACACAATGTCATCATATATGTTAAATATGGTTTTTTTTTATAAAAGAGTTGACTAAGTCGGAGCTCTCTAGTCGCAAAGAAATCGGACTCTACGTGTGGCATCGAATTGATCTAACGGTTAAGGAGAGAATCTAGCTTGAAACCATCGACCAATCCAACAGTAGTCTGCAAAAATGTTTATGATTAGAGAATTATCCTTTTTGGCTTCGTTTGTTTCAGTTTTGGGAATGTTGGCTCGTTTGGTTCAAAATTTTGGATTTTTGGGAAATTTCTTTTTGAAAAAAGTTAAAAAAAATTGAATTGGCCGATATTACGATGTAAGAATTATAAATTAATAAAATATCCTCTATATTTATTTATTTATAAAAACACCTCTATAATAAAATATTAAAAGTTAACAAAAATACCCCCAATCAACCCTCAAATATGGACAGTTGGCCACCACCACCAGAGGGTGGCCGTAGTCACCGTATCGGCGCATGACCGGCTAGATCTTGCCGGTCGTGCGTCGATATGACCTTTTTCCGTCAGATTTGGCCGTATTTGTTCGTCAACGACGGCCAACAAACGGTCGCCGTTGATGGTCAACAACGACCGTTTGTTGGCCGTCGTTACCGACTGTTACAGTCAAAGATCTGGCCATCAACGGCCAGATCTTTGGCCTTAGATCTGGCCGAAAAAAGCCTAGATCGACTCACTACCGGCCAGATTTAGTCGGTAGTGTGCCATCCTAACAGATTCCGGCCATTTTCTGGCAATGGTGGCCGGAATCTGGTAAATGTGGATTATTGGGGTGTTTTTACAATTTTTAAAAAAATATTTAGGGGTATTTAATTACATTATCAAATTTAAGGGGTTTAAAAAAAATTGAATAATACTGGGAGTAGTATTCCCAAAAATCAGGGCTCCGTTTGGTTCAAAATTTGGGGGTTTTGGGAAAAGTTTTTTGAAAAAAGTTAAAAAAAAGTTGAATTGGGCGGGTATTATGATGTAGGATTTATAAATTAATAAAATACCCTATATAATTATTTTTTTACAAAATACCCCCTATAATAAAACATTAAAAGTTAACAAAAATACCCCTAACCCACCCTCAAACACCCACAGTAAGCCACCACCACCGGAGGTGGCAGAAGTCACCTTATGGGCGCATGACCGGCTGGATCTTGCCGGTCATGCGCCGATATGGCCTTTTCCGGCCAGATCCACGGTGGATCTGGCCGGCAAAGGCCAGATCTACAGCCAGATCTGGCCGTATTTGCTCTCAACGACGACCAACAAACGGTCGTCGTTGGCCGTCGTGACCGACTGTTAGGGCCAAAGATCTGGCCGTCAACGACCAGATCTTTGGCCTTAGATCTGGCCTTTTCCGGCCAAATCCACTGTGGATCTGACCGAAAAAGGCTAGATCGGCGCACTACCGGCCAGATTCAGCCGGTAGTGCGCCATCCTACCAGATTCCGGCCAGATTCAGCCGGTAGTGCGCCATCCTACCAGATTCCGGCCATTTTTCGGTGGTGGTGGCCGGAATCTGGTAAATGTGGATTATTGGGGTGTTTTTGTAATTTAAAAAAAAATATTTAGGGGTATTTAATTAAATTATCAAATTTAAGGGGTTTAAAAAAAGTTGAATAATATTGGGAGTAGTATTCCCAAAAATCTGAGTTTTTGGGTATTTTACTGTTTAACTTTTTTGGGAATACTAAAAGTAGTATTCCCAAAACTGAAACAAACGCAGCCCTCATTTTTGGGAATACTATTTTCAATATTATTCAATTTTTTTTTAACCCTCTAAATTTGTTAATTTAATTAAATACCTCTAAATATTTTTTTTAAAATTACAAAAACACCCCAACAATCCACGTTTACCAGATTCCGGCCACCACCGCCGGAAAATGGCCGGAATCTGGTAGGATGGC